CTCTTAAATACTTCTTGCCATGAGGATTGAGCATGAAATCATAGAAAAGGAAGATTGGTAGTGTAAGGGAAAGAGTACCAGCCTATATTCATTCAACAAGCATTTATTGATGTCGGCTTAACACTGTATGTGTGTGTCTGTGTAGGAACACAGAGATGGACAATGTGTGATTCTCTCCAGTAGGAAGATAAGGAGAGCATAAGCCATGAGAGAGTGCCACAGGAGGAAAAATGGCTCCAGTCGAGAAAGGAGCAGGCAAGGAAGGCTTCCTGGAGGAGAGGGCATTTGAGCTGGACCTGGGCAACTGGGAAGGCACAGAGCATGTGGATATGAGGAAAGGATAAGCCAGGGCTAAGGGAACTGCTGAGGACAGAAGTTGTCACATTCCTGGCCAGACACAGTGGCTCACGCCTGTAATCCCAGCACTTTGGGAGCCTGAGGCAGGAGAATCAGTTGAGCCCAGGAGTTCAAGGTCAGCCCGGGTGACAGAGCGAGATCCCCGTCTGTATTTTTAAAAAATAAAATAAATTGTTGTCACATTCCTTTCAGAGGGAGCAAGAAGGCACTGTGTGCGCATTGGGCAAAGAAACTTAAAGTGATTGACTTGTGAAAAGAGAGTTGTGTTAAAACAAGTCATCTTCCTATGAAGGTGTGGAATTCCAAATTGAGTTTGTCCACACCATGCACTATTAACTAGAATAACTTAGGGATGGAGACGTTGTAAATCAAAGTGAAAACAGAATGAAGGGTTTCTTCTCCCTCTTGAAGGCTGGTCCTTGAAGTAATAAAGTTTTGCTTTTGTTTTGTCTTTTCCTCTTCCGCATCCTCAATTTCTATGGAGTAATACAGTTTTAATTCAAATAACATGAGGCAGGAACTAGGTAACTCTTGGAACTTTGAAGGAGGCCTCTGGGCACTCTCCAGAGTGTTAGGAAGGAAACCCATTACTTGCTGCTGCTCTTGAGCTCTCCTGGGGTGGGCAACACTGATTGACCCAAGGGGTGAGCAAATACCCTGAGCTGGGCCAATCAGAGAGCTCTGCTAAGCAGGGCTGAATTGGAATGGAGGGAATGTTCTCTTTCCTTGCTGGCTTTGGAGCTGTGAGGAAGAGCCACCTACCAGGCTATTTGAAGACATCCAAGATAATGAAGTCTGAGAGAAACAGAATTAAAAGGAGCCAGAAATCCAACCCTTCCATCGAGCTGCCCTGCTTTCTGAAATCTTCCTTTCTTCCTGCCACCTCCCTCGTGTCTTGCCCAGGCGTCACCCTTTTTGGCTTAAGCCAGTCTGAGTTGGGTTATTGTCACTTGCAGTCAAAAGAATCCTGTCTGACACAAGGAGGAGTGAGAGGCTCTGACTCTTACATCTAATTTCACTGCCAAAGTTAATATTTTCAACTTTTTCCATATACATGTATCAGTAACAATATTCTAGCCTTTAAAAAATTATACAAGTGATGCATATTACAGAAACAGACTATACCAGTTAGCAAAAAGAAGGAAAAGAAATTCATCTATAACTCTATCCATAGAGATAACCATTCTTTTTATTTATTTATTTATTTATTTATTTATTTATTTATTTATTTGAGATGGAGTTTTGCTGTTACTCACGCTGGAGTGCAATGGCCCAGTCTCTGCTCACTGCTCCGCCTTCTGTATTCAAGCGATTCTCCTGCCTCAGCCTCCCAAGTAGTTGGGATTACAGGCACACACCACCATGCCAGGCTAATTTTTGTATTTTTAGGGGAGATGGGGTTTCACCATGTTTGTCAGGCTAGTCTTGAACTCCTGACCTCAGGTGATCCACAGCCTTGGCCTCCCAAATGTGTGTGTGTGTGTGTGTGTGTGTGTGTGTGTGTGTGATGGAATCTCACTCTGTGGCCCAGGCTGGAGTGCAGTGGCACAATCTTGGCTCACTGCAACCTCTGTCTCCCGGGTTCAAGTGATTCTCCTTCCTCAGCCTCCCGAGTAGCTGGGATTACAGGCATATGCCAGCACACCACTACTTTTTGTGTTTTTAGTAGAGACAGGGTTTCACCATGTTGACCAGGCTGGTCTCAAACCCTGACCTCAAGTCCTAAATCTTCCCACCTCGGCCCCCTAAACTGCCGGGATTACAGGCATGAGCCACAGCACCCAGCCGAGGTTGTTTATTTTTAGAGACACGGTCTTACTATATTGCTCAGGCTGGTCTTGAAATCCTGGGCTCAAGCCATCCTCCTGCCTCAGCTTCCCAAACTGCTGAGATCACAGGTGTAAACCACTGCACCCAGACTGGACAACCATTCTTTTTTTTTTTCCAGACAGGGTCTGGCTCTGTTGCCCAGGCTGGAGTGCAGTGGCATGATCTCAGCTCACTGCAACCTCTGCCTCTTGGGCTCAAACCATCCTCCCCACTTTGCCTGCTGGATAGCTGTGAATACAGGTGTGTACCACCATGCCTGGCTAATTTTTGTACTGTTGTAGAGATGAGGTTTTGTCATGTTGCCCAGGCTGCTCTCTAACTCCTGGCCTCAAGTGATCCGCCTGCCTTGGCCTCCCAAAGTGCTGGGATTACAGGCATGCAATAACCATTCTTAACACATTTGCATTTCTCAACCTTTGCTGTTATCTATTTATCAATCAATCATGTCCATCTATGAGCTATCTTTGATTTATTTATCATTGATCTATCATCTATCTAAAACAGCAGCAGATAACAGAGCTCTTATGCACCATGAATGGTCTAATTTACCACATAACAACTCAATTTTTATCACGACCCCATGAGATAGCTGTTATTATCCTCAGTCTACAGATGAGAAAATTGAAGCTCAGAAGGGTTAGAGAGTACAGGCCAGAGAGTTGAGGTAACTTACCAGGACTTACGACTGTTAGGTGATGAGGAGCTGGAATTTGATTCTAGATTGTTTGGCTCCATAGTCTCTATTCTTAGCCCCTACACTATGCTGACTTTAAAGTCTGAATCCAGGCCAAGTGTGGTGGCTCAGACCTTTGATCCCAGGAAGGCCAAGGCCGAGGGAGGATCACTTGAGCCCAGGAGTTTGAGACCAGCCTGGGCAACATAGCAAGACTCCATCTTTACATAGCATTTACAAAGCTACTGAACATGGTGACTCACACCTGTAGTCCCGGCTACTCGGGAGGCTGAGGTGGGAGGATCATTTGAGCCCAGGAATTCCAGGCTGCACCTGGGTGACAGAGTGAGATTCTAACTCAAAAAAACAAAGTTTGAATTACACAGTGATACCTTTCTGCAACTTTTGTTTCTTACGTGTCAGAGTATCCCGGCTACTTTCCGTGTGTAGACATCTGCAGCTCCCATGTCCACTTTCAGAGTTGCATGGTATCTCATAACAAAGGTGCCCCCAAGTTTACTGAACCACATTCAGACTAATGAGCACTGAGACTGTTTCCAAATTTTCACTATTATAAAGGCAGTTTGCTGGAAAAATCATACTAAAAACTGTCTTAATTTCATAAAACAAAGCTCTTAAGTTACTCTCTGAGGTCAGATTCCCAGAGGTGAAATTGCTGGGTTGGTGGCTTCACACGTTATGGGGCTTTGATGTCTGCAAACAAACTGCGACTCAGAACAGCTGAAGCTCTTCCTTCTGGGGCCGATGAGGCTCTTTTTAATTTTTTTCCCTTCAATTTTTAAAAATTGAGATTGAATTTACATAACATAAAAGTCACTGTTCACTGTGTAAAATTCGGTGGTTTTTAATATATTCACAGCATTGTACCACCATCAGCACTCTCTAATTCCAGAATATTTTCAGCACTCCAGAAAGAAACCCACACCCATCAGCAGTCACTCCCCATTCCTCTTCCTCCCAGCCCCTGGCAACCACTGATCCACTTTCTGTCTCTATGGAATTGCCTATTCTGGGCATTGCTTACAAATGGAATTATATAATATGGGGCCTTTTGTGTCTGGTTTCTCCTGCTCAGCATAATGCTTTCAAAGTCATCTATGCTCTACCATGTGTCCGCACTTCCCTCCTTTTTATGGCCAAATACTATTCCACTGTGCATATATACCACTTTCTTTTCTTTTTCTTTCTTTCTTTTTTTTTTGTTTGAGACAGGGTCTCACTTTTTTGCCTAGACTGGAGTGCACTGGTGCAATCATGGCTCACTGCAGTCTCGACCTCCTGGGCTCAGGTGATCCTCCCATCTCGGCCTCTGGAGTAGCTGGGACCACAGGAACGTACCACTGTGGCTGGCTAAATTTTTTTTGCATTTTTTTTTGTAGAGAAGGGGTTTGGCCATGTTGTCTCGGCTGGTCTTGAACTCCAAGGCTAGAGTGAGCCATCAGCCATCAGCCTCCCAAAGTGCTGGAATTACAGGTGTAAGCCACTGCGCCGGGCCAACTATGTTTTGCTTATTGATTCATTACCTGATGGACATTATAATTATATCTACTCTTTGGTCATTATGAAGAATCCTGCTATGAACATCTTTTTTAGCTTTTGGTGGTATGAAGAAAAGGGAGAGGAGAACTTTCCTGAAATGAATGAGGTAGATTTGAAAAGATGAAGATAAAAAAAAAATTAGAGAAGATTTGCCTGAGGCCAATTCACTTAAGTAAGAAAACAGAACATAGGTTTGCAGGGAAGTATCTAGAAGGAAAATATCAGCTCTTTGGCCCCTTGGGCTCCTATGCTTTCTGACGATTCCTATACAAGGCAAAAATAGAATTCCTACAAACTCTTTGTAATCGAGAACAACCTGGATTTGGTGCAAGAAACGGACCAGTATAGGGACTGTAACTTTAATAGTTATTTTAGAAAAAAATATTTCTAGGCTTTTCAGGTGACTGAGTTTTGATGGTGGTTGATAAATGGCATCTCTTTTGTTTAGAAACTGGACTTACTGGCCTTGATCACAGTCAAGCGTGTTCTCCCTCACACACCTTCCTCGTTTGCCAGAGGTCTCTTACTGCACCCGAAACCCTGCCCTTGGCCTCAGTGAAATTGCAGTTCCTCGATGGAGCCCCAGAGGCCCAGGGCAGAGCGCCTCACGTGCTGGGCAGAGTCAGGACAGCACCTGCCTGGTGCGTGATGTCCCTTCTCACCAGGGAGTTCTGTTGTATTTTCCCCTTTGCTGTGTTATGTATAATTTAAAATACCTAATTTTACTTCTCTCCTCCTTTTTCTTTTATCATTTTATAGGGTATTTTGATAGTTATCACATACAATTTATTCCATAGAGTAGAGGGAAATGAGATAGGCTCATGATCAAATAGAAAAAGAATCGAGATCTGGGATTTGCCCCAGCTGAAGTTGAGGAGAGTTCTGGTTGGCCGCTTTTGGAGAAGGGTGGGTATTTTCACTTACCTAAAAGGTGGTCATTCTTTGTCAGGTGCCGTTATATTTTACAAGTATGAGGAGAATATTGAGAGTGAAAGGGGTGGACTATTATGGACATTTGTTTCTGATCATCCAGCTTCTCACTTGGAGACATCTCCACCATGTAAGGCAGAGATCAAGTCCCACATCTCAAATTACAGAGGCTGTAAATGCCGAATTCTTGCATTTTCAGCTTCCCTTGCAGCTGGGCATGTGCATACAAGCTGGGCTCTGCCAGGGATCATCTCTATTTTTTTTTTTTTTAAACAGAGATGAGGTCCTACTATGTTGCCCAGACTGGTCTTGAATTCCTGGCCTCAAGTGATCCTCCTGCCTTGGTCTCCCACCTCCCTCCCAAAGGGATTACAGGACATGAGCCTCTGCATCCCACCTGCCCCCAACTTTTTTTTTTTTTTTTTTGAGAGACGGGGTCTCGCTCCGTTGCCCAGGCTGGAGTGCAGTGGCTATTCACAGGCGCGATCCCGCTACTGATCAGCACGGGAGTTTTGACCTGCTCCATTTCTGACCTGGGCCGGTTCACCCCTCCTTAGGCAAACTGGTGGTCCCCTGCTCCCAGGAGGCCACCATATTGATGCCAAACTTAGTGCGGACACCTGATCGGCATAGCGCACTACAGCCCAGAACTCCTGGATTCAAGCGATCCTCCCACCTCAGCCTCCCGTGTAGCTGGGACTACAGGCACGCGCCACCACGCCCGGCCTGCCCCCAACTGTTAATCAGAATTCACAGAAGCCAAGAAGCGTGAACAATGTAGATTAGTTATCGTGAGGGTGGCAGTTGCAGGGTCCCATCTAGCCGGGGTCCAGGGCAGGGTGGGCCTCAGTGGTGTCAACAGTTCATGCCGTGTTCTGTCCTTAGGGACAGTGGCAGTGGGGTTCTCAGGGACCAGGTCTGAGATGGGATTTTGACATTGTTACTGGCTACATCACTTTATTTTTTTATTTTTGTTTTTGTTCTTTTGCCGCACCGCTTTAGAAGCACCATTTCTACATGGGGTATGAGGCTGGGAGAGGGGAGAGGAGAGAGAATCTTCCCTTTACTCACAGTTGTCAACTTGGTATTAAATGAGGAGTTGCAAGTTAAAGCCTCCAAGGCATGAGGCTTATTTTCAACAAGTGTTCCATCAGAGCCTTGGGCTGACTGTTGGGTGGTAACAGGGACAGTATGAAGGACAGCAGGAAGTGTGGGTCCACTTCTGAAAGCACAGATGGGAAAGGGATGGAGTTCCAGCTGGAGCAGGTTTCAGGTTGGACCAGAAAGCCGTCAGCGCAATGCGGTATCTGCGGGGCTCCGGGCAGTGCAGAATTTGGCATGGTAGTCCTTGTGGTCTGCGTGAGGAAGCATGGTCAGTACTGCTGCCTTGCACGGCTCTGCGGGGGTTTCTTTACATTGCTGTCCATGGAGGAACAGAGATGGTTAAAACATAAGGTTGTCCATGGAGCCACCTGGCTGAGTGATGGGCTGCGTGATTCAGGAACTAGGTTGGGGTGGGGGCTGGAAGATGGTGTGTTTCCCCACACCCCTGAGAGGAAGGAAGAGGGTTATTTACCCATGTTGGAGAGGGCCAGGGTAAAGCTGAACCCTGCTAAAGAGATCCACACAGTGCCATGCTAAGACCACCAGCCAGCAGAGGATCACACAGGACAGAGGCTGGGGACCCCACATGAGCAGGAAGGAGGAGGCCCTCCTCATCTGTCTTGTGGTGGGGCTCTGGGGGACAACAAGGCTTCTGGGAGAGAGGACTTGGACTTCTGTTCACTATTGTGATAAAATATGACTTTGACAGCACTGTGGACAGAATTACGTCCCCGCCCAAATTCATATACTGAAGCTCTGATCCCCATGGGATGGTATTTGGAGAAGTCTTTGGGAAATGGGTTAGATGAGGTCAGGGGGGTGGGGCTCTCATGATGGAATAGGTGTCCTTACAAAGAGAGGAAGAGACGCAGGGTCCCTCTTGTCACCATTTGAGGACACAGCAGGAAGTTGACCATTTGCCATCTAGGAAGAGAGTCCTCACCAGGAAACCAATCTGCTGGACTCCCCACCTCCAGCACTGTGGGAAATAAAGATCTATTGCTTAAGCCACCTAGTTTATGGTTTTGTTGTAAAAGCCTGAGCAGATGAAGACAACTCCATGTTTACCCCCAGAGAGGCAGTTTTAATAACCGGATTTGCTGACAGAATCATTTGAATAGGGCCGAGTGCTGTGGCTCATGCCTGTAATTCAAGCACTTTGGGAGGCCGAGGCAGGAGGACTGCCTAAAGCCAGGAGTTGGAGACCAGCCTGGACAACAAAGCAAAATTCTCTCTTTTTTAATTAAAAAAAGAAATTATTTGAATGGATGAAAATGTAAATAGGAATGGCACAAAAGAAAAGGCATCTACTGTGGCTGACTGAGGTGCTCAGGACTCAGAGATGTCTGCATTGTTTTGAGAATAAAGGTTTGCGTTCAGACATAGCTGCCTGAGACTTCTCAGACTGGTTACGTCTGTCCCCAGTGTTAGACTTTAGGTCCAAAGTACAATCTCACCATCGTCCCCATTTCTAGTTCTTGTTTGTGGCACCCACATCCACACAGTTGTCCAACTTATGAAATGGCCTCATCCCCTGTTTCTCCCGTGCACACCTGCCAGGTCTCAAGTCATAACCTTCTTTCTTTCTTTCTCTCTTTCTCTCTTTCTCTCCCTCCCTCCCTCCCTTCCTTCCCTTCCTTTCCTTCCTTCCTTCCTTTCCTCCCTCCCTCCCTCCCTCCTTCCCTCCTTCCCTCCTTCCCTCCTTCCCTCCTTCCTTCCTTCCTTCCGTCTTTCTTTCTTTCTCTCTCTCTCTCTTTCTTTCTTTTTTTCTTTTTTGAGACGAGTTTTGCTCTTGTTGCCCAGGCTGGAGTGCAATGGCGCAATCTCGCTTCACCGCAAACTCCGCCTTCTGGGTTCAAGCGATTCTCCTGTCTCAGCCTCCTGAGTAGCTGGGATTACAGGCATCTGCCACCACGCTCTGCTAATTTTGTATTTTTTTTTTTTACTAGAGACAGGGTTTCTCCATGTTGGCCAGGCTGGTCTTTAACTCCCGATCTCAGGTGATCCGCCTGCGTCAGCCTCCCAAAGTGCTGGGATTACAGGTGTGAGCCATCGCACCTGACAGACTTTTTTTTTTTAATCACGTCTGGGCTCTGACCACTTCGTCTCCATCCTCACTGCCACCATCTCTCTCAAGACCTCTGCTGCTGCATCCCAACCGGTCTTACCTGGTTCTTCCTCTGGTTTGGGTAATTATGTCGAAAGGCCCATGACAGCCTCAAGAAATATTCTGAAGACTCCCTGGACCCTAAAACGAATCCAGAGGCTTAGGGACTAACCAGCAAAGGTTACAAGGGCAGTCACAGATGAAGACAGGCCTGTATAATTAGGGGGTGGGGCTCTGAGATTTCTAGAAGGGGTTAAGTTTATGGTTAAGAAGTCCATTCTTATTCAAATGGTTCATGTACATAATGGATGGGTGCTGATCTTGTCAAAAGCTATCAGTGCTATACTCCAAGATGGTGGGTCATGGCTAGGCACGGTGGCTCACACCTGCAGTCCCAGCCCTTTGGGAGGCCGAAGTGGGCAGATCACCTGAGATTGGGAGTTCGAGACCAGCCTGGCCAACATAGTAAAACTCTGTCTTTACTGAAAATACAAAAATTAGCTGGATATGGTGGTGCGCGTCTGTAATCACAGGTACTCGGGAGGCTGAGGCATGAGAGTTGCTTGAAACTGGAGGTGGAGGTTGCAGTGAGCTAAGATTGCACCACTGCACTCCAGCCTGGACAATAAAGCAAGACTCTTAAAAAAACAAATGGTGGGTCGGTCTTGCTTAAATGACAGAATTGCATTTGTTCCTGTATCCTGGGTCTTGAGTGAGGTTAACTCATGAATCAGCCCGTTAGTAGATCTGAAGTCACAGAATATGTAGGGGAAGCTGCTAATTGTGCCCTAATAATCATTTTTTGTTCTTCAGTGAAAACCTCCTGAATTCAGCCTGTTGAATTTTGGCTGTGTACTGCCATCTAGAACAAAAACTACATTTCCTGATGTGCCTTGCAGCATAGTGTGTCCATATAATTAAGTTCTGGCCAACTGTTTGTAAGTCAGAGTAGTATATGTAATTTTGAGGAGGTAGACTTAGAAGGAAAGGGTATTTTGTTTTTCTTGCTGGAATGTTGATGTGATGGTTGGAGCTGGAGCAGCCATTTTGGACTATGATGAGGAAGCCGTGTATTGAAGACACTGGAGTGACCAGATTGGAGGAACCTGGGTCCTCAGTGAGTGGTACCAGCTCTGAGCTGCTGGTGTTTATGTGAGAGAGAAATAGACTGTTTTGCTTGAATCACCTTTACTTTGACTTTTAGATTCAGAATTTGATACCTGAAGACCAAATGCTGCAAGTAGCATCTAAAATGTGGCACTGGTTTAGTGGAATTGTTGGGCCAGCAGATGGCAAAGATATAAATATTGCCTTTTGTATAATGGCTAAACATGGATGAAATTGTTATCTGCTACTGGGTATGTGGAAGATGGACCACGGGCGGACTGAAGGGAAAACGGTGGGAGGATGAAAAAGTGTGACTGTTGCTCCTTCTTGCTTTTCACAGTCCTCTGTACGTGAGATGAACTGGGGCTACAGCCAGCCTGCCTGCAAGCAGAGATGGGAGGTATTGCAGCTGATGTTTGTCTTCTCCAGATCTCATGTCGAAAGGCATTCCCCAGTGTTGGAGGTGGGGCCTAATGAGAGGCGTTTGGGTCGTAGGGGTGGATCCCTCATGAAGAGATGAATGTCCTCCTCCCTGGGGATGGGGTGAGTTCTCACTCTCTTCATTTGGGTGAGAGCAGGTTGTTAAAAAGAGCCTGGTCCCTCTCCCCACTCTCTCTTGCTTCCTGTCTCTCCATGTGGTCTGCACACGCCTGCTCCCCTCCACCTTTCGCCAGGTGTGGGAGAGGCCTGAGGCCCTCACCAGATGCGGATGTGGGCGCCATGTTTCTTATACAGTCTGCAGAACCGTGAGGCAAATAAACCCCTTTTCTTTATAAGTTGCCCAGCCTCAGGTATTCCTGTATAGCAACCGTATGCAGCTAAGATGGGAGGGAATCTTGCTTTGCTCAGAGAGGCGCTGTCAATAGCTGCACTCAAGTTGACTCAAGTCTTGAAGGTTGAAAATGACAACTGCTTTTGTCCTTCAAACTGCAGCTATTAAGTGCAATGCCCTTGAAATGGCAGGCTTAGTGCAGATAAGGCTTCTCTGCCTGAAAATGCAAACCAGGTTGCTTCAAAGACCAGACTAAGGGTGTTGCTCTCACCCATGCTTCTCTTCCAGGCAGCCTCAAGGCAGCCACATTTAAGTTGAAGAGGCAGGAGCAGAGCAGATCTTCTGCTGTGGGTAGTTGATGGATTCTATTGTCTAAGAAATTGCATGCCTGGTGTTCCTGAACCATGAAAGTAACCTTGGGGGCCGGGCGTGGTGGCTCAAGCCTGTAATCCCAGCACTGTGGGAGGCCGAGGCGGGTGGATCATGAGGTCAAGAGATCAAGACCATCCTGGTCAACATGGTGAAACTCCGTCTCTACTAAA